CTGAACCCCAGCCCAGCGCAGGGGGGTACCTAGTGGGTTGCAATGGGGTGCCACACACCAGTGACACATCACTCCTGGAAAGGTGCAGCTTCCCTGCTAGGAAGGGCTGGGGGTGGGGTGGGTTGAAGTGTAAAACCCACGGCCGCTGCTGAGATGGGACCACACAGCTGGGCTGGGGACCCCAGGGCAGGACCCCCCTGCCTGGCCCGCAGGAATGGGGTGCCCTGGCCAGACTGCCTGCCAGCCATCAAGTGCCCTTTAATGGGCCTGTAAAGACCCAATGATGACCCGCGATCTGCGCCTTGATGGTTTGGCTCCGCAGCCATTACCATGTGAAAGGCTCCTCTCTGTCCCTTTGTGCTCTTTGTACCCAGGGCTGTTAGGAGCTGCCCTTTCCCGGGGTCCCCTGACTGCCAGGAACGTCCTCCCTGGTTTCAGGGATCACAGGTCCGCACTCCAGGCGCTGGGGTGGCACCAGGACGAGACCCCCAGTCCTGGCGATCAGGAGCCTGAGCTGACCGTGTCGTGTCCCTGGCACCACAGCGATGGCAGATCAGGTGTGCCAAGGGCTACTCTGACTCTCTCCTCCCAGAGAAAAGCTTTGTGCCTGGGCACGCACTCCCCCCTCACTGGAGAGCTGACCAGGGACATAGAGGGAGCAGAGAGCTTGTACCACCTCAGGGCTTGATGAAGGACATGTGGAAAAGGGTCCTCACAAGGAAGTGCTCATCCCAGGCATATTTGGACCCACACTCACACACAGGGACCCCTGGACCCTCTGTGCCCACGTACCGGAGCCAGCCCAGGGCACTCGTACACGGTGAAATCTCCATCCTCATTCTCCTCATCAGAGGATGCTGAGTCTGGCAGCTTAGGCTCCTCTTTATGCCTGGGGGGGAGAGGATGCAGAGACGGGGTGATGATTAGGGGCACCCCAGTTAATGACAGGACACGCTGTCAGCTCTTAGGCTGCTTACTTCTCCAGGGAGAGCATCTGCTGCTTTTGGTGCTGGTAGTGGTACATCTGGGCACTCTGAGCCAGCGTTTTGTCCCCAGGCTGTGGAGAGAGCAGGGACAACTGTGAAGCCTGTGCTCCAGGGGGTCCCAGCCAGGCTAGTGGGAACCCCTCCAGCAGAGCACTGGGGCCTGAGCACCACATCCTACAGGGAGGGCTGTGGACGCCTTACCGAGATCTTGTCGTAGGGCAGGGGGCTGGCCACTCGCTGGACTGAGTAGTCTGCTTTCTGTGCCAGCCTCACCTCCTTCTGCAGCCTGCCAGGAAGGAAATGGGAATCATGGAATCACTGAGGTTGGAAAAGCCCTCTAAGATCACCAAGTCCAACCAGTAGCTCAGCACTACCATGATGACCGCTAAACCATGTCCCTGGGTGCCACACGTCTTTTGAACACTTTCAGAGATGGTACCACTATCCTGGGCAGCCTCTTCCAAAGCTTGACCACCCTTTCTATTAAGAATTTTTCCTTATTATCCAACCTAAACCTCCCCTGGCCAACTTGAGGCTGTTTCCTCTTGTCCTGTCACTTGTTACCTGGGAGCAGAGCCTGATCCCCACCTGGGTACAACCTCCTTTCAGGCAGTTGTAGAGAGTGAGAAGGTCTCCCCTGAGCCTCCTTTTCTTCAGGCTGAGCCCACCAGCTTCCTCTGCTGTTCCTCACCAAATTTGTGCTCCAGCCCCTTCCCCAGCTCCTTTCCCTTCTCTGGACACACTCCAGCACCTCAATGTCTTTCTTGTTGTGAGAGGCCCAAAACTGACCATAGGATTTGAGGTGCCTCACCAATATCCAGCACAGAGGGACAATCACTTCTCTGGCCCATCCTAGCAGATGTCAGGAGCCATGGGAGCAGATAACTCCATTCATGAGCCAGTGACCCCTGGATGGGCTCTGTCCTCCCACCCACATCCCTCCCTGTTCCCTGAGATGGCACTCATAACAGGGGGAACCCCCAGGCACAGCCACTTCCATCTCACAGGGCCTAAGCACGAGGCACTGACATGCCACGGTGTCAGCTACAGTACCACAGTGATGCCTGCATCAGGCGGCACCCACTCCCAGGTGCCTGGACCTGGCACAGGGGTATCTCACCACTGTCCTCCCACCTCAGCTAGCAGATGCCATGCCTGGGGGGCACTGTCAAGGGTGGCTATTGCCTCTCCTCCACCCCCTCATGCCTGGGAAGCACGGGAATACACTTGATGCCACTCCCCTGGGCATGTGGACAC